AATTTGAATTTCCAAATGTAGGGGAGGGTGTAATTTCCACTAATTAAAATCAATTTGTGAACAATGGCCCACCAAGCATGAGTTGGTCCTGTGGGATGTACTCATAGCAAATTTTTTAGTCCCTAACCTTACGTAAGTGTGATATTCATGTTCCTACACTACATGTCACTTGTTGCAGTCATATTGCCAACCTCTTAAAATTGTGGATGTTGTGTCTCGAATTAGTGGAAAACGTCCAAATAAAGGTCCAATGATCCCGTGACGCTTATTTGTGTCGGACTGAAAGTTTAAAATTATTCATAAAAATTTTCTTTATTAAAAAAATCAAACCACGACTTTAATTTTTATTTAGAAATTCAAATGGAGTAAAATTAATCGATGTTTGTGAAATTCACCCCTTTGCTTCAACCCATTCTTGGCCTCATGTGGGTGTTATGTGGTCATTTAACGGTTAGATAAACATTTTCTGTTAGCTTGAGACATGATTGCCATGGTTTTTAAAGGTAGGAGACATGGATATAGCAAATGGTATGTTGATCACATAGGCATTACCAATAAGGAATGGTTCTTAAACTTATAAAAATTAAATGACAGAGTTGTTTATGTGGTAAAGTAACTATGGTAGGTTCAATCTATTTGAAAAACAAGTGGCACAACCATACTTTTGACACGTGTCTAGTGTATATCGAATTTAAAAAAAAAAATCTTATATCATTACCTTTGAATATAAATGCTTCAATACAATCACACGGGATTGGGCTCTTAAAGCTACACCAAGTGCACTTATAGTGATGAAAGGTACTAGAAAGAATAACTTGTACTATTTTCAAGATACTATAGTTTTTGGATTGCAAAAACTGAAGTGTGCAAACCATGACATCACCGAGCTATGGTCTATGAGATTGGGAAGTGCATGTGACAAAGCTTTGCATGGATTGGTAAAGCAAGGTGTGGAAACTTGCAAACTAGAATTTTGTGAACATTGAATCGATTATCAGAAGAAGAATTAGGCCAAAAAATAGTTCCAACGCATTGAAGGTATTCACTCCGATGTTTGGAGAATGACTGAAACAACTACGTCACTGAGAGGTACACACTACATATGTACCATGTTGTTTAAAGTATGTCAATCTGAAGAAATTGCACGAAACTTCATAGTTAGA